TTTTTTTGGCTGCTGCTGCTTTGCTTCCGTTTGAGCTTCGGGTGAGGGTTGGCCTGTGTCCCTCTGGCATATGAGTGCCCTATGGAGGTGCACCTGTTCTTAGTGTATGTGTATCCCCCACCCTTGCTTGGCTGTGTTGTATCCTCCTCATGTCCTACCTTGCTAGCAAAGAGCCTGGTTTTCGGAGACGGTTTCAGCTTAGTTTAAGTAACGGCCTAAAAAATGGGTCTTGCTTCTTCTCTGCGACCGCTGTTGTTTTTGTTTGAATGTTGTTTGTGACGCTGCCAGGTGAAAAGGGAGCTAAATTTTGATTTAAGATTTTTTTGTTTCGTTTCCTTGTTCTTGATAACCTCCTTCACACCAAATCTTTTTTTTTTTTTTGCACTTCTGTTAGGAAGAGCCCTCCTTCCCCTGGAGGTTAAGCCCTGGGGCCTCCAAAGTGTGTCACCCTCCCGGTTGAGGCTAGACATTAATTTAAATGGCGACTGAGCTGTCTGAAGCCGACCCCACCCACCGTAAGGCAGTTCCACTCTTAACAGGAGCTCCCCTGGACAAGTTGAGTGAGGTAGGGGCTGACCCCTGTCCATGCTTGCCCTTGGATTGGCCTTTGCAAGGGCCCCTGTGCTCTTTCTCCCCCTCTTGCTTCTAGGAATCTCAGCTGGACTCCGTCCGCCCTTCCTTACCAGGTGTTGACCCCTTCCTTTCCTGCTTCCCCCCACCCCACCCATGCTTCCCTCCTTTCCTCCCCTCCTCTGCCCCCCCACCCGCGTGTCGTTCTGAGCTGGAGCAAAAAACACACACACACACACACACACTTGTGAAGTGCAAAGCAGGAAAGCTGGACCCTCCAAGCTGCTGACCGATCCAAAGCACAATCGCCTCTCTTCTCAAATGGTGGCAGTGGGGACCTCCCCAGCTTGTCGGTGTGGGGGGGTGGGGTGAGGGCCTCCTTCATTGGGCTCCTCCTGACGCTTTGCTCCCCTTCCCAGACAGTTGAAGACGGAGGAGCCATGCCGATCCGCCGGGCAGTGAACGCTTCTTCTCGGGAAACTCCTCCCAAAAGCAAGCCTGCTGAAGCGGAGGAGACCAAGCCAGGTAAAGCGGAGAGTGTGTGTGTGTGTGTGTGTGTTTCAGTCTCACCTTGACCCGCTGCTGCGGCAGGGAGGCCCAGTCTCTTAGCAGGTGTGTGTAGATTACCACGCCGGGCCTCTCGAGTCACTGCAGAGTCATTGACTCAGGGGGGAAGAGGCGAGCTGATCTTTTCAGGCTGCGCGCGCTGAGATCGTCGTAGCATTTAAAAGAGGCCCGGAAAGACCCCCCCCCCCCTTGTAATCAATTTTTAGCCCCCCCCCCCCATAAAAGGGGATTCAATTAGCTTCATTACGCTGCCTGGGTGCTCTCGGTTGTAATTTTTCAAGCAGGCCTTATTGGCCTGAGCCCAAATGCCTGAGTGTTCTGCCATTGATCGAGGAAGGGAAGGGTGGCTGGTTGGGGGGAAACAAATGAGCCTTAAAAGCTGTATGCTTTTATTGTGGGGGTTAGGGAGGGGGGGGATTGATAGTTGAGGAAGACCGGAGAGAGGTTTGGAATCCGGTTCCTCCTGCAGGCGGGCATCTTTCAAGGCCATCTTCAAGGCTCCTTCAAGGCCATCTTCAAGGCTCCGAGGGTGGAATTTCACCAGCCTAAACGCCTAGGAGTTTCTCATAACATGGGGGAGGAACGGGGGACTGGACTGTGTGTGTGAGGGGGGGGGAGGGCTAGGGGAAACCAGGTGTTTTGGTTCTGAATTGAAGCGTGGGGGTTTTTGACTCCTGCAATCGGCGTCTCTTAGCAAAAGCGCCTTTTTCACTTCCAACGGGGTAGAGAGTTTGACTTCCCTTAGGGGCAGGTTGCACAAAACATGGTTGCGCTGAGCCCCTTTAAATTTTCCTTCCTACGACCTGGCTTTGCTGTTTAGAGCCTCGTTGGGCAGGAGGGCTTGGTAGGTAACTTGCCAGCACGGTGTTCAGCTAGGAGGGGTGCCCCAGACTGGGCTTTGAGGCTTGCAGCTGTAGGACAGAGCAGGCGGAGCCGAGGGGGAGGATTGCAGCGCTCCAGCAAGGGGGGGGGGGGTCGTTTTCCCCCCCCCCCCCCCCCCCCCGACCTTGGCGGCAGTGCCAAGCCTTGCCGGGAAGCCCAAGACGGGCCCGGTCTTCAGCAGGAAGTTTCTGATCCTTTGCCCCCGCTTGCCCTCTTTCCCCTTTGCCCATCAGAACCGGATGTCAGTTCGGAAGAATCCGCCTCCACCGTGGAGGAGCCAGAGAATCAGGCTCCTCCGGCTCCCGCCGCTGACCCAGAGCAGCCGAAGGAGGCTGAGGAGGAGGAGGAGGAGAAGGCCGATGTGAAGCCCGCCGAGGAAGCCAAGAAGGAGTAAGAAGCTTGAGGGGGGGGGGGGGGGGGAACAGGGAGGTGGACTGTAGAGGCCAAGAGGACAGTGGCCCTTGCTAGAAAGGTATGTGCTTGCTGCCCCCACAATACAATCCACACCCCTGTGATCCAACTGCCTGGCATGGGAGCGCACGGGTTTCAAAGCCCCCTTGGCCACAGGGGTTGCTGCCTCAGACCACGTGGGGTGGCGCCTCATTTCTTCCGGTTGGCAAAGGAGACTGACCCACACTTGTCTCCTGGCCGAGCAGCAACTTGGGGGCTATCAGGTCCACCGTCTTCGGCTTGGCGCCTCACTGGTGCCCTGCCATCAAAGGGCCGGGGTGGGGGAAGAGAGACAGAGGGGGACACATGAGCAATAAACCTGTGTGTGTTTATGTGGGAATTTGGATGGGGGCGGGGGAAGGACAGCTGAAGAAAAGCAGATCAGCGTGGAATGGGTCCGTGCCAGGCATCTTTGAGGAGGTTTGCCCAGGGTGTGGAAAGTGTTGATCCCAAACACCTCAGTGCTCCCCAGGTATCTATGTCAGCAGCACCGCATTGGCTGGGATTGGTCTGGTCATGGGGAGAGGGCTGGGAACGAAGGAGTTTTGTGCTGAGGCAGGGGAAACTCAGATTCCGCCTGACTTGACTGCAACTAGCATCTCTTAGTCAAAGCACCTTTCGCTTTAACCCAATTGGGAGTCGAGGGTTTCTCTTCCCCAAGGGATCAGGCTGGGAAGGTCTGACAGGGGCAGCTGCTAGCATGGGTTCGGTGGCCTCGTTGTGGCCCTGGGATGGGAGGGGGCTCCTAATGCGGGAACGGGTTTTCAAGAAAGGCAGCTGCCCGCTCGTTTCTTGCCTCGGCCTGCCTCCAGGCCGCTCACCTCTTTTTTCTCGCCCGCCAAGGGAGAAGGACCCGGAGAAGGAGAAGGAGAAAGAGAAGAAAGTGAAGAAGACTATTCCCGCCTGGGCCACCCTTTCGGCCAGCCAGTTAGCCAGAGCGCAGAAGCAGACGCAGATGGCAGCTTCTTCCCGACCCAAGATGGATGCCATTTTGATCGAAGCCATCAAAGTGAGGAGGGGGGGGAGCAATGGGAGCGGGGCGGAAAGACACCCCAACCAGTTGGCTGCCAAGACGGATGCCAGGAGAGAGCTGCCCACACGCCCTTCTTGCCCTCCCCCCCCCTCCCCAGGCGTGCTATCAGAAAGGTGGGGCGTCCGTGGTCGCCATCCGAAAGTTCATCATCAGCAGGTACCCTTCGCTGGACCTGGAGCGGAGGGGGTACCTCCTGAAGCAGGCCCTGAAGAGGGAGCTGGAGCGGGGGCTCATCCGGCAGGTAAGCACCTGGACCCCCCCTCGGAGCTGCAAACCGGCCAC